CGCAAGTAGTTTTAAATACATGGTATTTATGGAGTTCAAGCCCATGTTGTGTAGAAAGATTATTTAGCCTGTTGCTGGTTTTAATCCTTTCTTGAGACCCTTTTAGAGACATTACGGTTTGTTGGTTGAATGAAGCCACTCTTTAGATGTTTTCTGCAGCTTAGACTTGAGTTTGACAGTATTGCAACCAATTTTTAACTGGGACTGGTTCTTGATTCCCATTCATAGTGATGCCATCGTTGAGTTTCTTCAGATTTTATTTAGTTTGACTGGCTATTAGCATTTATAATGTCCATTCATTTTCATTATTAAAACACCTCATACTGTTTAAACTGTCGCATTTTCTATGTAAAAAGTATTTTTGTGAATTGTCTCATGCGATTTACACAGTTTTCTTTTTACATCGATAATGGTAACAGCGTAGTTTGTCCTGCTCTCTCCTCATTTCAGCCGGCGTTGCAGTCGTCTGTTGTAGCTACCTCCAAGGAGCGAACACGCCGAGACCTCATTCAAGATCAGACCATGGATGAGAGGGGCAAACAGAGGTGGGTCCACATGAGCCCTGAACCTGCTCTACCTACAGATGCATTTTAGAACTGGATGAGATTAGTTTCTTCGCCCCTGCAAATAGTGGAGAAGAGAGAAAATATCTTAAATCAAAGGGTCAATAGTTTGTCATTTTGTAGCTGAGAATCTCAAGCGTCTGTGTGATGGTGAGTTTTTCTTTGTCAGGAATCGGCGTATGTTTGGCCTGTTGATGGGGACCTTACAAAAGTTCAAACAGGAGTCTAACGTCTCTACAGAGAAGGTGAGGAGATCTTTCCAGTTAATGTAGTTTTTCTATGTGCATTAAGAATCTTTCTTTAGATTAGCCAATGTCATCCAACAAGGCAAAGACAATAAAATGCCCTGAGAATATTTCAGTGTGATGCTTTCACTCGGTTACTGCCTCACATAACCCTGTGCTAAAGATGTCTTAACTGTATTGTCTGTATATTTTGTAAAGCGCATTGTAATTCAATATTTAAGATGAGAAAGATACATTTTTGATTTCTATCCACAAATATTTAAACTGACTTTACACAAATAATTTGTAAATACTTTGGTTGGCTTTCAGTCATTGTTCTCGTCAGCTGTTTATCCATTTTCATTTATTTCCTTCTATAATCTCGTCTTTATCCTCTACTGCTTTTGCCTCTGCAGCAAAAGAGGCGCTCAGAGATCGAGCAGAAGCTCGAGGTTCAGGCTGAAGCAGAGAAAAAAAAGGTGGAGAATGCAAAGAAGGAGCTGTTTGAAGAGAGGAGAGCCAAACAGACTGAGCTGAGACTATTGGAGCAGAAGGTCGAACTAGCTCAGCTGGTAAGAAAGTTACTTGGGTTTTCACAAGCCTTTCTCAGTTCGCTCTAAGTGCTATTGATTGTTTTCTTCTGACACAAGAATATGTCTTCAGCCATCAGCTTTGCGGGTGCATTACAATTTTCCTTATTTCAGTCCAGGGAGGATCTAAGAACTATTGCAATGATAAAGAGCATCTAGTGGAAAAGAAAATTGTTTTTGCACAAGCAAATTCACGAGACTCAGTTATAGAGGGTGTAAAACAGACATGTCAAAGAAATATTTTCCAATCTCATTCTTCCATCTACAGCAAGAGGAGTGGACCAGCCACAACAATCGTCTGGTGAAGTACATTCGCACTAAGACGAAGCCTCACATTTTCTATTCGCCTGGAAAAATGTGCTCCGCAACCCAGAAACTCCTCGATGACTCCACCAAGAAACTAAACGGTCAGTGGGGCTGTTGTTATGAAGCATCTCACTTATTTTATTTGTGCAGATCAGTTTGTGTCTTTACTACCGGCAGACATTGGTGAGTCTGTAACCTCTGAATCTTTGTGTCTTTGTAGTTGTGTTTGAGGAGAGGCGTGAGGCTTTTGCCGAACACCTCATTAAGATGGAATCCCGCCCCCGGCGACAGCCAAACCGCGACCAGGACGGCAACACTGCGGCAACAGGAACGGACCACCCAGCGGAGGGTAAGCCAGCAGGTCAGGTAGTCAAGGTTACAGGTAACAAGGGAGATGCAGAGATGGAGGAGGAAGAGGAAGATGAGGAGGAGGAGGAGGATAGGGGAAAGGTGAGGGAGAAGAATGAGGGGGAGGAGAGAGAGGAAGAGGAGATGGATGGGTTGAAAAAGGCAGCTGAAGAGGGAGAGAGGATGGAGGTAAGTGAGGAGGGTAGCAAGGAGAAGGAGGACGAAGAGGAGGGAGTTAATGGTAGTGGGGAGCAGGGGGAAATGGGAATCAAGGAGAAAAGTCCAGGGTCAGAGGAGATGGAGGTTGAGGGGGAGCAGGGGCACAGGAGTAAGGAAGAGGAGGGAAAAACAGACATTAAACAAGAGCCCACAGTCTCCAAGAATGAAAAGACCCTAGACACCCAGTTCTTTGAACCAACTGTCGCCAGCCAAGAGGCACCAGACACCAGTCAGCAACCCCAGCCCAGTCCCTCTGCAGAGGAGCCAGCAGAACAGTCCTCTGAGACCACTGAGGCCTCACATGCCCCAAAACCCCAAACAGCCTCCACCATAGTTCAGCAGGATAAGATCACCCCTGGCTTAGAGGTCCAGGCCTCAGCAGCACAGAACCAGGCTGCAGAAGTGAAAGCCCCACAAGGACTGCCCGATTCCCAGGAGGCTCCCAGCACCACCAGCCCTGCACCCTCCAAGGAGAAAGACAACAGCGGGAGAGGGAGGAAGAAGGAAAAGGAGCAGAAGAAGGGCCGCAGTCACAGCAACAGCTCCTCCTCTTCCTCCTCTGGCTCGTCCTCCAGTGGAAGCTCCTCGTCTTCCTCTGGATCCAGCCGCTCCTCGTCCTCCTCCTCATCATCCTCGTCCTCATCGTCCAACAGCAGCAGTCGAAGTCGCAGCCGAGACAGCGGTAAGCGCAAGAGGAGGCCATCTGAGAGAGGCGGGGACAGGAAGAAAGGAGAAGACAGAAGTCACCGTAAGCGAGGAGGGAGCAGCGGAGGTGGAAGAGACTCGAAGGGATCGAAAGAGAGGAGGAAGAGGAGAGAGGAGGGCAGAGGCAGGTCGTCCCGGAGTGATAGGGAGCATAAAGATAGAGACAGGAAGGAAAAGAGACGCTAATCTACTTCTCATTCAGCCTCTTTGCGATGACACAGAAAATTAAAGCTCCAGTGATTTCACGACATGAGATGACGGAAGTTTTTAACTGTTATTATAATTTCACTTTTTTCACATAAAGGCCCAGTGGTAGTTTTAACGTAAGTCGATTAAAAGGTGAAGTCAAAACCAAACATGGATGACTGCTTACTATTTCCCTCCAATCATAAATTCGACTTTTTAGTCATGGTGGTGCATCGAGCAGGGCTGCTCCTCGCACCGTCTCCGATCGGGCTCCTGGTGACATAGAGGCGCAATTTTAGTTGTCTTTTTAAATCCAGATGATTTATTCTCATTCTGACTGGGGTTTTTTACTGAGGTCTTTTGTGGCACCACAGTAAAAAGATGCTATTTCAATGTTTTCTTTTTTTTTTTCCATCTTAATCCTCATGCCCATAGGCCGGATAATCAGTGGTTATGCTAGCAGTGATCAGTAGTTGTGTTTTTCAAGTTGATGTGACAACACTGTTAATCCCCAATTGTCTCCACTGTTCGATTGATGTCAAGGCCGTTGTACCCTCATCACATGGGCACATGTGTGATCTGCTTAAATACTGTTTTTTGTTTATTGTTTTTCTGTTTTTTTTTTTTGTACCAACTGATGATTCGCTTCAAAATAAAGTTGAGGTAATAGTTGAAGAATTGTGTTTTGTTTGAAATCAAAGTAATTATTTTCAATTAACATTATCTCTAGGATCTGTGAAAACCAACAATGGTGGGGAGAAAAAAAAATCCCATTACAATTTCTTTGAGTCCTAGAATTACACACTTAGTTTTACAATGCTGTAAAACAAAGGCAGAAGAAAGAATATAGAGTTGAAAAGGTGGACCTAGTGAATGTTGGCATTTTTGTTTGGAAAAATTACTTATCTTGCACGTTAGCAATTTTGTCAATAGTCTCAGCTCGATACACACTGCATCATTTAGAGTCTGCAATTGCGAATACCGCACAATAACCTTTGCAATCCTCAGTAAGAAAGCAACATCAATTACACACATGTATTAAACATCATTGGTTCACCAGCTTTGTCACAGCTTAGGTTTCACTACTGGAAGTAATCTGTGTTACTGAAGATAGAAACATCAGGCTATAGGATCAGTCTGATCATAAATGTCTTAAATTACATGTTTCAGCTGTGCAGATATTTCACTCAATTGTTTGTCCTAGTTCAGACCCGGTTTTAACATCCGCCCTGAAAGACCGGATCACAAATGGTCAGTTCTATGTACCTGTTCACACCAAGTACTGTGTCCAGAATGTTTCTCTATGACCCTTTGTGATCGGCTCTTCACCTCCCTGCTCAAATTGCAGACAAACACAGACGCCATCTGTTTGCTAAGACCAAATTACACTATTTTACCCAGTCTACAGATGTGTCCGATGTTACCGTGTCAGCACGAGAGGAGTCAGGAGGGGCTGAAGGAATTATGTGCAGCTGCCGAGAAGAAATATTTTACTAATTTAAGTATCAACCATTTGGCGTTGATGTTGTGGACGAAAACAAAAGGACATATGGACACTGAGAAGAGTAACATTGCATTTGATTCATTGTGAAACTGAAGCAGGTCAGAGGACGTCCACTGAGTAGGACACCTTCGTATGTGGCCCAGGACGCATTTAAATTCGCACAGCTAAAACAATGTGGCCACGTGTCAGAGCGCTGACCACGTGATGGGATCGCTCACGACGGATGTTCATACCAGGTCTCAACAGGGTCCTTGAGTTACGTCATGTGTGGCCAAAATGCCAGTGTTGATATCGTCAGCTATAATGATGGCTGTGAGATATTGATGACCAGCAACAATGTCCACAAAACCAGGAGTTACACAAGTCATCAGTTTAATAGAAAAATCTTACATTTAATTGGAACCTTTAAACCAAAACCTTAAAAACATCAGGGATGAATTCACTAAGAAAGAAAGTGACTTTTCCTGATTAAAACAAACGTGTTCTTGCTGCTTAAGTTGTACCAGCAGAAGTCAGTTCAAGTAAACAGTCAATAGCACAATTCAACAACAAATCATATTTGTGTTCGTTACTGGGAACCATCGGTTTCATTCAACTATTCATGTGGATGTGTTTGTTTCCATCCATTGGTTTTTTGGGGGGTGGATCCTGATCCGTTCCAATGTCGGACCTTGTGGCTCGACTGTAGAATCTGCTGCATCAGTTAGCTCACATCTCATTCTTCTTATTGTCCTGTTGATATCAAAGAGTTTGACCGTGCGTTCACTGCGGCTGATCTGCCAGGTCATTCTGCTCAAAATACCTGCAGGTTAGAAAAAGGAAATTAATATAACGGCATTCAGTAGTAAACAGAGAAATGAAATTCAAATTTTTAATGTTGTTACATTGGACCAAAGTTTGTCTATCTCAAAACAGGACTTCACAACCCTCCTTAGGCAGATTTCACAGCTTGCAAAAGATTTTTGCAGAAGCTATTTTCTTGATTTAATCTTCTCCCACGTTCTCGTTGAAATTGAATCATTGCTAAATGAAAAATTTAAAAAGTGCATCAAGATATAAAAAGGATAATTCTTTTATGCTTGCTGCATAGATTGTACAAACTTCATATTTTAAGTTGTTAAATGTTGTAGTCACTCAAACAAATCATAAATGGGTAGTTAGAGTTTGGTATGTACTAGGTATAAGTATGGGATGGTAGAGTTTACTGTTTGGGTTAAATTGAATATTACCAAACCGTGGTATATAAAATATAATGTGGCCAGAATGATTTGAACTCTGGACTCAGTTGTAGATACCTGGCAACAAGACAGATGAGCAGGTTGAGGGCAGGTAGTTCCTCATCGTCCTGACTCTCCTGTGGAATCATGGGAGAAGGACACATTGTCAGGTCGAGAGTATCACATCAAGAGTCAAATTCTGACAGGCGCTGCTATAAAGAGTGAATTAAAATAATTTCTATAGAAATACTTTCGTCTCTTAATACAGAAATTCTGCAACAATCTGGAGTAAGTAATTATTTCTGGCCAATAAATGTCCTGACTGACAGATTAAAGCATCACAGTGAGACACACACTGGTAGTGTTACATAGAGGAGGGCAGCGGTGAAGGAACCCAGGTTAGAGGACAGTTGTACAGACAGAGTCGTACCAGCGTGCTGCGGAGCTGAGCACATCTCCTGGCCAGTTGTCTGATGCAGGAGTGGGCTTCAGGCAGTAAAGGCTTCTCCAGGCAGGCCAATAAACCATACAACCAGCGACCCTGGAACACACACACACACTGTCGTCATGTTCTGTTGGCACGCTTAATTTCCAAATGTCTAATTTACACATTCTTCTACTGAAAACGATGACTATGCATCTGCTGTACAACTACACTATGTATCTATAGCATTGAACTGAACAGGATGCAACAACCAACTGAACAAGCTGGAGAATCAAACTCACCAACTGTGGAGCAAACGCTCGCTCCTCAAACCAACTGATAAGAGTTTCTAACACCATCAACACTGTGGACTGTCAACACACAGAGAGACCATAGAGGAAACTTACAAATCACTGTTACACTGGTGAATAGAGTGAGTGTCAGTTTGATAAAGGGATGAGTATTTACCTGATTGAGTCTGCTAACGATGCTCAGGAAGGGAGGGAAGCCTACCTGAACAGAGACATATATTTATTAATACATCAGTCACATTTAGTTTTATATAATGAATCGATATTTAAACTATTAATACATTTATCAGTACGTCACATTTAGCTCTTACATAGTTTATCGTAAGTTAAACTATGCATTTCTCAATATACAGTATTAGTCACATTTAGTTCTTATTTTATTAATTATAAATTACTTGACTCACTTTATCAATAAGCAAATGCACAAAAAGTGATTTTAATTTTCACTTCAGGCAAGTTGAACAAAATTTTAGATACAACTGTACCAACAACTTTTACTTTAATAGAACACAGTCAATGAGATTTGACAAACATTTGAAACTCCTCATCATACAGGAAATATCAACTGTTAAATATGTTGAACAGGAAAAGAGTCTCTATTCCAAACAAACACATTCATACAACCTTGCTGTAGTCCAGTGCCGGCTCTGGTTCTGCAGCTGTGTCACAGGATGACGTTCCCAGATAGACAACCTCCCCTAAACAGAACCTCTTCCAGCCCTCCTCATCCGTTAGCTTTGGCTGTAAAACACACAAGCTTTAATATTACATCTACGATAAGTGTCTTTTGCAGTTTGCCTCTTTTTTCATGTGTACGCATATCAAACCATCAGCAAGTGATTCTGCTCAAACAGAAGCTCCTGAGGTGAAACATTCAATGTGATGCTATCAAATGTATACTGTTCAATTGACTGAGTGAAATTTGTAACTCTGCCATCTCCTCACCATCAGCACATTGTCATCCAGAGTCTGGCTGCTCCAGTGGTTTCTGTTCCTTGTGATGCTCTGAAAGCAAAATGCAGAACAGCTTTAACGGTCAGAGCAGATCGATAGATGAACCTGCACCACAGTATTACACCGCTCTTATACACTGCCATTTTCATTCCAAACACTGAGCCACGAAACTTCTTATATTACCAGTGTTGTAGATTACACTTATCTACAATTTAAAAAAAAAATTCCATTTGAGAATTTTACCTGTCTGACGTCCGAGAATAGACCGACCTGCAGCCGCTGCCAACTGAGACTGGGGCAGAAACCCGTGGGAGCAGCATCGCAACCTGCCACCTGAAACCCAGAAGAATATATATCTTACACACGTGAGGGGAAAGAATGTATTTTCTTCCTCACCTGATCTCGTACGTGCTAACATCTTTCATGCTTTTTCTGAGTGAAAAATAAAGTAGTGAGGCACATTACTAGTGATGTAGTGATTGGATTTTACTTATGTTTACAAAATATACTTAAGTAATTGTTGCTTGGTTTTATTTGTATATCGTATTTGCACATTCTTCCCCAACCCTTGAATATTT